GGGTGGTCCTTGAGGGGCTGAGGGCGCTTGGTGTGTCCAGCTGGAGCTGAGGGGGGACCTCACAACATCCTCAGGGGGGGCAGGCCCTGAGCTCAGCTCTGGGGGGACCAGGGAACAGCCTGGAGCTGTGCCAGGGGGGTCAGGTTGGATTTTGGGAAAAGGTTCTTCCCCCCAGAGGGTGGTTGGCACTGAACAGGCTCCCCCAGGGCGGTGGGCACAGCCCCGAGGCTGCCAGAGCTCCGGGAGGGTTTGGATGATCCCCTGGGGCACAGGGTGGGATTTTGGGGGGGTCCTGGGCAGGGCTGAGTGTTGGACTTGGGATGGTCCTGGTGGGTCCCTTCCAAATCAGGAGCTTTCTGTGGTGGCTCTGGGAGAGGCTGAACCCTCCTGGAACGGGGTGTCCTGTGCTCCCTGTCCCCTCTGGGTGCTCCCTGTCCCCTCTGGGTGCTCACTGTCCCCTCTGGGTGCTCCCTGTCCCCTCTCTGTGCTCCCTGTCCCCTCTGGGTGCTCACTATCCCCTCCCTGGCCCCTGTGTCCCCTCCCTGGCCCCTCTGTGTCCCCTCTGGGTGCTCACTGTCCCCTCCCTGTCCCCTCCCTGTCCCCTCCCTGTCCCCTGTGTCCCCTCTGGGTGCTCACTGTCCCCTCCCTGTCCCCTCCCTGTCCCCTGTGTCCCCTCTGGGTGTTCACTGTCCCCTCCCTGTCCCCTCCCTGTCCCCTGTGTCCCCTCGCTGTCCCCGGGGCTGCAGCGCATGGCCAAGCCGAGCGAGAAGCCCCGGCTGCGGCAGATCCCGTCCTCGGAGGACATGGAGGCCGAGGGGACCCTCCCCGAGGCTGCCCCGGAGGGCTCTGACCCCGCCAGGACACGCGTGGAGCCCCCCAGGCCGGGCAGCAGCGGGAAGGAGCCCGAGAGGACGCAGAAGGTGCTGCAGCCTCAGGACGAGCTGGTCCTGCAGCAGGTCCGGGGAGGGGGCTGGCAGGGGTGGGCACGGCCCCAGGGGAAAGGGGGGATCTGGGCAAAGAGGGGGGCACCGGGGGTGGTTTTGGGTCCCTTAACGGGCTCGGGATTGGGCTGCAGGAGGGCGAGGCTGAGCTTGGTGTCCCTCCCTCTGCATCGTCCCCAAATTGCTGGGCGTTGTCCCCAAACTGCTGGGTGTTGTCCCCAAACTGCTGGGCTTTGTCCCCAAATTGCTGGGCATTGTCCCCAAACTGCTGGGCTTTGTCCCCAAACTGCTGGGCATTGTCCCCAAACTGCTGGGGGTTGTCCCCAAACTGCTGGGCATTGTCCCCAAACTGCTGGATTTTGTCCCCAAATTGCTGGGAATCGCCCCCCGATTGTTGGACTTTGTTCCCCCACATTGCTGGGCGTTTTCCTCACACTGCCAAGCATCGCCCCACCAAATCGCTCAGCATTGTCCCCAAATGGCTGGTGTTTGTCCCCAAATCGCCGCTGTTTGTCCCCATCCCAGCACTGCGGGGCTGAGCCAGCAGGGAGCAGCAGACACTGGGACATTGTCCCAGCTCCTCTGAGCTGTGACCCCCAGCCCCTGCAGGCTGCAGGACCCCCTCCCTGGTGCCCTCACGGTGGTCTCTGTGCCCCCCCCCCCCTCCCCAGGCCTATCTATGGGATTCCTACCAGCGGGTGCAGCAGCAGCTCCTCAAGCGCCAGCCCTTGGACCCCCCCGTGGTCCCCACGGGGCACAGACCCCTCTCCAGGGCACAGTCGTCCCCTGCCACTGCCAGCGTGTCCCTCCCCACCCAGGACACCCCCAAGGGCCTGGCCCTGCCCGTGCAGGAGCAGCCAGCAAAGCCACACTTCACCACAGGTACCTGGGGGGGGGCTGTGGGGGGGACCTGGGGGTGTCCCCATGGCAGCCCTGGCACCAGTCCCGGTCACTGCCAGCCCTGGGAGATGTGGGAGGGACGGGAACAGGGCATGAGGGTCCCGGGTTTTCTTTGCCTGAGCTCAGGTGGCTTTTCCAAGTAGGACTTTTGGCCACTTGGTCCGTCTCCCTTAGGAATCCAAGGCAGGATTTGCTTGGAGCGTGTTGGGATGGAGAGACCCCCTGGTTTGGGATAGAGACCCCCTGGTTTGGGATAGAGAGACCACCTGGTTTGGGATGGAGAGACCCCCTGGTTTGGGATAGAGAGACCACCTGGTTTGGGATAGAGAGACCACCTGGTTTGGGATGGAGAGACCCCCTGGTTTGGGATAGAGAGACCCCCCTGGTTTGGGATAGAGACACCTGTTTTTTGGGACAGAGAGGACCATTTTTTGGGACAGAGGTCCACAATTTGGGACAGAGGGACCTCCATGCTTTGGGATGAAGTCCCCCCATGTTTTGGGGGATAGAGAGGCCTGTTTTTTGGGGCAGAGGCTCCATGCTTTGGGAGGGATCCCCCCCACGGTTTTGGGTGTGTGTGTGTGGCAGGGCTGGTGTACGACTCGGTGATGCTGAAGCACCAGTGCTCCTGTGGGGACAACAGCAACCACCCCGAGCACGCAGGGAGGATCCAGAGCATCTGGTCCCGCCTGCAGGAGCGGGGGCTGCGCGGCCGCTGCGAGGTCAGGGGGGCAGCGGGGGGTGGCTGAGGGGGGGTCCTGGTGGGTCCCTGCCCCCTGGATGTCACCAGGGGGGTGCCCAAGCCCAAACCCCCCCATGAGGAGCAGGGGCTGAGCCCCCGGGGTTGCTGCCCTGGATGTGCCACCCTCACCCTGGAGGTGGACAGGGTGGGAGCAGCTGTGTCACCCCCCCAGCTGGGTGACACCCCCCACCCTGTTTCCCCTCCCCCAGTGCCTGAGGGGCCGCAAGGCCACCCTGGAGGAGCTGCAGTGCGTGCACAGCGAGCGCCACGTGTTCCTCTATGGCACCAACCCCCTCAACCGCCTCAAACTGGACAATGGGAAGCTGGCAGGTGGGTCTGGGGTCTCCCCCCCTCCCTGTCCCTGCAGCTCCCCTGGGTGCTGAGCTTTTCCCCCCTCCCCAAGCCCCCACCCCCCTTGGTGTCCTCAGTGTCCCCTCTGCCCACAGGGATCCTGTCCCAGCGGATGTTTGTGATGCTGCCCTGTGGAGGGGTGGGGGTAAGTGCCGCAGCCCTGCTTGGTTTTTGGGGGGAGGCTCCTTCCCTCCTTCCCTCCCTC